ATAAATCGAGCACAAATAGTTAGTATGGTTATGTTGGGTACGGCGGCACTGCGTTCCACCTTACCCAACTTAACCTTAAATATTTACAAAGCCGCCACCCACTTCACTTCACTAACGAACTCACTAATGTAAAAAATAAACGTTCTCGCTATCGTTCTCACTAACAACTTCACTAATGTTCTCATAAATTTTCCTCAATATCTTCATCATCAGTGTTAACCCTATTGTAGTCATACTTGAAGCCATAAACTTTCTCTAACTTCTTAACGTACAATTTACATAACTTACCTTCGTCATCGTATGGTTTAATGATATAACTATTTCTATCTTTATACACAGTCAATGAAAAGTCAACTGGTCTCGGATGTATTTGAAAGAACATGTTATGCTCAGGAAGGAAGAATAAATGTTTAAATGTATGTTTGTTATATGTTTTGATTTGTATGAGTTGCTTTTGTTCTGTCATTTATATAAAAATAAACTTAAAAATAAAATAAAAAATAAACTTAAAAATTAATGATATCACCACTCCCACACGTATGAAAACATAGCCCAAAAATAAATTTAGGGTAGATGGGTATATCTAACCGATTTCTAACCTCATTTCTAACCTCATTTCTACCCTGTTGAATTCATTGCTTTATAACTCTCTTCCTTTCTCCAACTCTTCTAACTTCTTCTTAAGTTCAGCAATGTTGTCCTCATGAAGTTTAATCTTTCTCAAAATTCCTTCTCTATCTAATGGTTGCTTTATCTTTCTAAACTGAACTCTACCATCCTTCATAGTATGAATGTAAAAACCTTCTGGAATAATTCCTGATTTAATGTATTCTACCAAAAACTTTTGTTTCATTGCTTCAGTGACTTTATTTGTCATTTTACTCTAAGGTGAAGCTAGCACAGCGATAATGGATTTCATGACTTTTTAGTATTTCATGCAATCTTAACAGATAGCCTTACAAGTACTTCCAGTGTCCCTAGCTGTCCCTCCTTTTTATATAACTCCATGACATTTATAATCTCGCGAAACTTAACAGGTAGCATAACAGATTAAAATCAGATGAGGTTTTGAACCAAAATTTCTAAGCAACGTTGTCAAGGATTTTGAGGAACTAGGGACAGAGTGTGGCAAAGTCCAAGATTTAATTTATCTTCATCTGTTTCATCAGCTATCTCATCTAATATGCCAATATTTTATTCATAACTCGTGGCAAACCCACTAACTTTTCTTTCAAAAATTATGTTGAAATCATCTAAAAATTCTTCGAAATGTTCTAAAATATAACCTGGAGAATTATAACAAAATTCATTAATTTCTAACATATACGTATCTAACAATTCATTTGGAATTTCAAACGATCTTAAATATGTAATTGAATTTTGTATCTTCTCATTTATTTGAGAAAGTTTTTCTTCAGCATTTTCCAATAAAAATCTTAATGGATTCAAATTGGCTTCTTGATTCTGAACAAAATTTAATACTTGGTATAAACGTGATTGAACTTCTCTTTTCAATTTTGTTTTATAATCTGTCAATCGAGGCTCGCGAATTCTAATTGAAGGAATAAAACCTGTTTGAAGTAAATCGTTTTTAATACGATAAAAGTAATTGGGTGCAACTTCTTCTAAAGATTTTTGACAAAAACATCAATTCTTTGATTTTTAACGCAGCCAAAATCGTGATTATTTATCTTTTTAAATAAAGATTCAGAAACGTTATTCACAACGGTTAATTCATTTGGTCTGGCAGCGGCTATCCACATCATAGCCAACAATTCCTTATACAAAATTCAAAAACTTGGGTGCAATCAGTTCTGATTGCACCCAAGTTTTTGAACTTTTTGAGGGAATTAAAGGGTGAGAGATTTATAGTCTATCTATATATCTCCCACCCTCTAATTCCCTCCCTGACAGCGGGAAACTTTGTCTGAATGTTAAACTATTCAGACAAAGTTTCCCACTGTTTGCGAAGGAATTGTTGGCTATGATGTACTGATTCATGATCAGTACATCATAGCCAACAATTCCTTATATAAAGTTCAAAAACTTGGGTGAATCAGTTCTGATTGCACCTTTTTGAACTTTCTTGAGGGAATGGAAGAGTAAGAGGTATACATTATGAATATATACCTCTTACCCTTCCATTCCCTCTCTGACAGCGGGAAACTTTGTCTGAATGTTAAACTATTCAGACAAAGTTTCCCGCTGTCAGCGAAAGAATTGTTCCATCTGGTGCATAGAGTGTGAATCTATGCACCAAATGGAGCAAGTCCCTCGCGAAATTGCCAAAACTTGCGTCGCATTTCAAAGATTGCGACCCAAATTTTGGCGATTTCTAGTAGAGATGGAGTATTTTGAGTCACTGACCTATATGCAGTGGCTCAAAGGGCTCCATCTCTACTTTGAAGCAAGGAAACTTTCCTCGAAATTTGATAATTTGAAGAAAGTTTTCAAGCAATTAACAAAGGATTACTCGCTATGAGGTAAAAATTCTAGATTTTCACCTCATAGCGAGAGCTTCCCTTTCATTGCTTGAAAACTTTCCCCAGCTTCAAAATTGGGGAAAGGGCTGTAAAGTCGACTCCGATACCAGCAGGTACCAGAGTATTTAAAAGAGAAGCCCTCGTACGAGTTTCTATGAAGACCTTCTCATTCAAGAAGATCTTAATAGAAAATCGTACGAGGGCATTGGAAACTCGCGTCTGGTACATGTTGGTACCAGAGTGTTTGAGATTTGAAGACTCTGGTACTAACATGTACCAGAATTTATGATGAACTTAAGATGGACCATTATAAAATGGTAGCGGTTTGTTTCAAAAAAATTTAGATGAGATTTGCATAGATATAGATTATATGATTTATACATATGAAAAATAATATATAAAAATATAATTTTGAGATAATTATGTAAATAATATTTTAAATATTTGAATTTGAGGTATAATTTTATAGTAAAATATATTATAAAGAGTATTTATATAAATATTGTAAAATAATATAAGTAATAAAAATTGAGACCCCCTCCCTGTTTTTGATGTTTTGTCACTTTTTCGGTAATTCTTATTGTTTCTTCGCTGACAGCGGGAAACTTTGTCTGAATAGTTTAACATTCAGACAAAGTTTCCCGCTGTCAGAGAGGGAATGGAAGGGTAAGAGGTATATATTCATAATGTATACCTCTTACTCTTCCATTCCCTCAAGAAAGTTCAAAAACTTGGGTGCAATCAGTTCTGATTGCACCCAAGTTTTTGAACTTTATATAAGGAATTGTTGGCTATGATGTACTGATCATGAATCAGTACATCATAGCCAACAATTCCTTCGCAAACAGTGGGAAACTTTGTCTGAATAGTTTAACATTCAGACAAAGTTTCCCGCTGTCAGGGAGGGAATTAGAGGGTGGGAGATATATAGATAGACTATAAATCTCTCACCCTTTAATTCCCTCAAGAAAGTTCAAAAACTTGGGTGCAATCAGAACTGATTGCACCCAAGTTTTTGAATTTTGTATAAGGAATTGTTGGCTATGATGTACTGATCATGAATCAGTACATCATAGCCAACAATTCTACCTTTTAACCAAAGATAATTGATTCGTATGTAAAATATTAAGCTAAAATTTCTCTTTCTTTTAGTACACATTCTTCCATTTCGTGTACATGTATCATATATTAAGTACTAGTTATCTATTCTATATCCTTTATCCCAATTTAGATACTCAAAGATAATTCTTTTTCAGAAGAAAAAAAATATTTTCTATTAAACCGTTATTTTTTCAATGTGAGTTTTCAATTTTATTTTTCCTTTTTGCTGCTCAATGCAACATCCTCCACCCGATCCTCCATGCGAGGTTGATCAAGCCATAGGATATTTAGAATATTCTCGTTTTGTTATAGCTGCAGAGCTGCATGGTAACATAAGATTTGTCAAAGACCCACAAAAACTATCAATTGGAACAGGAGTATTAATCTACCACCGATGCGAATACGAAGGCTGCCCAGCAGGCTTTAAATTTATTAAAAATTTCGACAATTACATTTTTAAATCTGCAAACTTAACTCA